CAACAAAATTGCAAAAGGTGTACGGTGAAACACAAAAAATTCTGTTATCTTGTATTTTCCGTGTTTAACTGTCTCACCCACTTTTCACTATGTTCCGTATCCTAATTCACCTATCCCCTTTCACTGTCATTGTTGTTGCGTTGACACCATGCTTGTTTTCGAGCCGGTGGTAAATATATATAAATATACAATAGGACCGCACCATGGAGCTGTTTGTCGAAGGATGGGTACCAGCAGTTAGTTGTATCGTCATATCAGGTTGGGTTAGGGACTATGGCCAGCGTTCGCCACCCTTTGCTGTTTCCATTTGGGGTCCGACAACGCTGTCCTAAATCCCCACTCCTTTTCAAATTAGTCATAGATGTTCTACAGAATGCTTCATCCTGTCTAGCAAACAGTGGAGTCAAACTTCTACCAGGAAACAGTACTTGGATCGTAAAACAAAATGAACGGTGAAACAAAGAAAACATTTTGTTAATCTTATTTACTGTTTTCCATTGTAACTGCTTAACATCCATTTCACTCTTTTGCATCCCAATCTTCCATACCATGTTATTGTAAGTATTCCTGTAGCGCCTGTAAGCAATGGATATATATATATATATATATATATAATATATTCCACTAGAAGAATCCATCGGTTATTGCGGACAGCCAACAAGGTGATTAAAACGAGCTCTAACCGTATGCAGTCAACAAATTAGCAGTTCAGCTCAGTTCTTACAACCATTAACCATGCACTGTCGCGCGCCGGTTTTGGTTGCTGTGTCTTGATTGCCCACTTGGATAAAACAGCAGAATGATGATTAGAATGTTAACAGCAGATTCAAGCGGAAGATAGTGCATATACACAGACTGAAGTTAGAAGATTGATGAGTAGATGCACGAGTGCCACTGTTTGTGACACCCAGCCATATCACTCAGTGTCTCTAACCACCGGTGACCCTCACCTCTGGGTTTTCATACCCTCATGCCAGGTCTTAGCTTGACCTTCTTCCATCCACTACACGCCTCGGCGAACATCGCTTGCCGTGGCAACCTATTTGGAGACATGCGTAGCACATGTCCCAACCGGCGTAATCTATGAAGGTCGAGCACTTGCTTCAGCGGACGACCGCGATTACATTAAACTCTACGCCTAACCGCAGCATTGTTCGTGGGGCGATGGCGCCACAGATAACTCAAACTATCCAGAAAAGCTTGCAACTTGCCTGGATCTTCACTTAGTAGCACAAAGTCGTCTGCATACTGTTCAATCAACTCCATAAACAGGCACATCGAATTGGATCACGTGTACACGCCAATGCAAATCAAGGACCAAACGACGCAACAAATAAAGGTCACGCCGTGACCTGAGAACGAACGTAGACCGCAATTGGGACGAAAAGACAACCTCCTCCTCTCGCACCAGTTCAACGGCGAACCGAGTCCCACAGCGAAAACAGGGGACGAAAATGGTCCGTGGAGAACACATATATAAACGAACACTGACACTTCACAAGCAGTGAAGATGTCACCTCAGCTAGTGATGAAACGTTTGCAAACAAATTACCAAACTAGGCGAACAGGCGCAATGGAATACCCTAGATCAGACAGTCGGCCACCGCGATCCTCGCACGAAGATAGGGCTTTTTCCATAGTCAAAGCTATAAAAGAGTTAAATGGAAAAGGGAAGAGCGGGCAACCCTAACGAATGTCGCTTTCTGTGGTGAATTCGGGTGAAAACGTGCACTAAGCTCGGATTCGACTTTGGCTATCAGTAAAGAGGGATCGTGATATTGAAATCCACTTCTCAGGCACACTTTACAGAAAGGTAGCGCCATAGTTTAGAGCGGTCGACTGAGTCGAAAGCCGCTTTCAGATCGAGGAAAACAGAGACGATGAGCCTACGAAAAGAATGTCGGCGCTCCAGAGTTTGGTGGAAAATGAAGATGTGGTCGATGCAACTTCGACTAGATCTAGACCCAGCCTGGATTTCAAGCGTGCGCTCTTCACGCGACGGAGAATGATCCGGGAGAGAAGTTTAGAAGCGATGCCGGAAATCTTAGGACGTTTGAGATAACATGTTTCCCGGGTAACCTCCATTCCAGATTGTGGAGTGGTATCAACTGGGAGTATCTGCTCAGTGTGTGCGGTGACAGGTCAGAGGTCGATGGAGGCCAGTTGATCTGAGCCTCGAAATGTTCAGCCCATGGTTCAGAACGGCGTTGCTGCTTGTGAATCAGTGAGCCACCGGATTCCTTAATTACCTCATCGACGCCTATTTTCGGGGGCCCCGTGTTCATAGTTAGATGGAGCAGATTGGGACTGTTACCCATAGCAGCAGCCTTCTCCATCTCTCTACAGTTTCTTACCCACCACTTCTCACAGTCATTCATCTGACTCTTGAGGAGCTAGTGTTTGAAGAATTTGCGCGCTGTGTCATATGTGGCATCAGAACGGAGGGTTCTGCGGGCGTCCAGCAAGGCAGCCGAGGTCGACGTGGTTTTTATTGATATTTGGATAGCTTCCAGTGTTCGTTGAGTCCTTCGGTTAGTGGTTAAACTGACAGGCGATCGAACAGTTCCACTTTGAAGGACGATTTGTAGCAATCTCTGACGTTTCATAGTGGATATCCGTTGTCGGTGGCTTTTTTGCGGTTGTTTGCCAGGCGTAAAATAATTTGGCTCGTAGCAAAGCGTGGTCCGTATCCACAGGTGTTGACTAGTATGAACGGCCCCCTTCAACGGTAACTGATGGAGCTGCGAAAAGGTGGGCGGTTTCCATGTAAGCTAGTGACGTTTTTTGTGCGAGTTGGTGCTTGACAGGAACAATCCGTGGTCTGTACAGAGTTGGAGAAGACGATCGCCGTTGTCTATCCCGTTGGTTGGGATTGAATGTGGTCCGCCAAGAAGATTCGTCCAGGGATCCCACTTGGGAATTGAATTCTCGAGCGACTACCACGACGTCCGTTGATCAAACACTTTGGAGTAGTTGGAAAAGATCCTTGTGTACTGCAACCGATACGAGGATTAAGCACCAACTCTTCGTTCTGTAGCTGTTAATTCGTACTGAACTATCGAGACGTACAGCGCACAGTCGGCGACTGACTGGAATCCAGTCAAGAAGCGAGCGCTCAGTCTTGGCACTTAGCGCAATCCCGATACCAGCAACATCGCGATCTTCGGATGCCGAATCGCCTGACATACGAAGGGTGAAGTTGAGGTTGGATCAGGAGAGCACAGGGAGATGATTGAAGTAGGGTCTTGCATGCGTGTTTCGGAGACACAACATACGTCTAAATTGAAAGTTCCAAGGGTTCTAGCTAAGGCAGCCTGTTGACCAATCTGGTAGAATGAACGGACATTGAACGCGGCTAAATGAAAAGGGAATTTCGGCTTTAAAAATCCCGTAACTTCTGATTGGTTGGCCTTGCTGGTGAAACCCTGAGTGCTATCCAAGGCTGGTAGCAATTGGAAAAGAACAAAGGGCGGTCAAGCTAAGACCTGGCATGAGGGTATGAAAACCCTAACCAGGAAACTAGGTCACATAGGCCCCGTTAGGCTCTCTGGCTGGGGACCTCGGGATGATGGTCACCGATGGTTAGAGACACTGATTGATATGGCTGGGTGTCGCAAACAGTGGCGCTCGTGCATCCACTCGTTATTTTCCTAACACCACTCTATATGTATTCCCCATCTTCCGCTTGAATTTGCTTCGACATTCCAATCTTCATTTCGCTATTTTATCCAAATGGGCAACCAAAACCCACGCACGAAAGTGCATGGTTAATGGTTGTAAAACTGAAAACTGAAACTGATATGCGATGGGTCTTGCAAACAGCAGGCGTTTGGGATTATTCGAGATTAAGAGGAATAACTACACAGATTGTAAAGAGCTTTTTCAAATGGATGCCTAATACTTTAGGGTACATACTTCGCGGTAGCCCACACCGACGAAGGGTTTTTTCTTTGGAAAACCTAACCGGAGCCTTTGACTCAAAAGTCTGACCAACAAGGCAGTGGAGCGTAAATCCAACGCCGGAGCGTGAACGAAGCACTCGTGTGGGAGCTTCTGGTGACTTGTCACGCAGGGCCTTCGGGTTTCGGTTGTGTAGTTCGCTGATGCGTTGATTATTGGTCCGCTTTTCCGGATCGGCCCTTAGCCTCATGCTCCCAATGAGACAAACGGAACGTGGACGGAACAGCACCTTAATCGCTGGGAGCTGCCCAGCTTGGGCCGGCGGTAACTGTCCAGTGAAGTGCGATGACTTCTCCCACCGTCGAGAGGAAGCCCCAGGTACTTCGCTCCTACTTTCATCTAGCGGGTGTTTTTTTATCGGTAAACTACCCCTCACCGTGTTTATTTGCTGGAGTGGCCTCTCCAGGGGCGGGTGTGGATAGAAAAGAAAGCCAGGGGGTGCCCAAGCAGCTGGCTTTGTGAGACTGAGCTTCGTGTGGCCTTTCAGGAATGATTGAATCTGCGGCTGTGAAACGCAATCCTGTTTAGTTCGCAGGTTCATGGAGGCACGCAAGCCATCACACCACGTCGGGGTGAAGTCTTGTCATGAGTATCTTTCTGTGAACCGTAAATGGATCCATTGGTGCGAAAACTCCTATGGGACAAGAAAAGCAAACGCATGTATTTCCCATAATAAAATTTTGACCAAAACTAGAGGAAATCACGCCATAGATTGTGTTTCATGTTGTAAAGGTTGGAGCCCAATGCAGAGGAGAGATCAACAGCCTATATGGAGCACGGAGTTCTAGAATCACACATCGGAACATAGAAATATCCACTACTAGCGCTAAATCCACTCTGCAGCTTGCGAATTTGCTCTCCAAGTATACCGAACGAGGTCATACAGCATTGACACAATTGGCACTAGGCTTATGCCCGTGTTCATGCAGCCACTGTGTGAGATCTCCATGATGATTGGGACAACAAACGATTACTCCAGCCCCCGCGAGAGGGGAGAACGAATGGGAGCAGTGTCCCAGGGTTATGAGCACAGATCCAGACTTTTCCGTCGATACAGCCCATGGGATGTGAAGGGAGTAGCTGATGAGCTGTAAAAGAGAATAACAGTACAGCTACTTAAAGAAAACATTAGGAGACGAACAAGGGAGCACATTCGTATGCCAATTTTGTTAGGCCGTTAATCTGTAAAACGTCGAGGATAAATGCAACACATTTGTTTAGACTTGTACAAGTCAGGTTGGAAAAATAAGCAGCAGAACCTAATCAAAGTCAACACGGAAAAAAGACGCCTTTGTATATGAACAATAAGCGTGCACGAATTGAATAACACGTACTTTTTCGTAGTGTGTCCGAATACACAAAAAGGCAAGATAAGCGGTCAAACATCCCAAGGCGTTTTCCATGCAAACACCTGGAGTGATTGCCTCTGCTTCATCGAAAAGTTTGTTAAGCCGACTGATAGCATCTGCAAAGCGCGAGGGATTGATCTGCAACGGGAATAAGTTTAGGGCAGTTCACAAATGAATCGTTAACTTACCGACAGCGAACATATTAAAGCAAAATGGTTCGGCAAGAACGTTTCAACCTTCTACGAAAGACATTCTCAAGTCAAGTAAACGTGGGTTCAGTTCAGTTTTCCAAACAATTACCATGTACTTTCGTGCGCCGGTTTGGGTTGCAGTCTCTTAGCCGACCGTTGGGATAAAACAGCAGGATGAGGGTTGGCATTTTAGGAGCAAATTCAAGGCGAATATAGAGAATTCACATGGACTGAGGTTGCAGGGATAATGAGTAGATGCACGAGCGCTACATCACACAGTCCCTAACCAGCGGTTGCCATGATTTCGTAGTTCGCATCCACGGGGGCTTAACGGGACTCATGTGATTCACTGTCCTGGTTAGGGTTTTCATACCCTCATACCGCCCTTGACCTTCTTCCATCCGCTGCCTGTCTCGTCAAACATTACACACCGCGGCAACCTATTTGGTGATATGCGCAATACATACCAATCAGCATAGTCTATAGAGGTCGATCACTTGTTCCACTGGATGACCGCGATTACCTGAAACTCTGCACTTCACTTCAGCAATGCTAGTCCGTGTTTCCTACCAGGATCGTGTAATACAACGTAGACAACAGTGTTCAAACACCGACAACCTACTTTATTATGTTCCCGTAGTGACCACGTTTCTGCAACGTAGAATAGCACTGGCCGAACCGCTGCAACATATACTCGACGCTTCACTGACAATCGGCGATGAAGCCTCACATGTCTCAAGTTAGCAAATGCCAAACGAGCCTTTTGTATGCGATCCGACTCGTCATCCGTGATGCGTCCGCAAGGTGAGACATAGCTGCCCAGATAGAAAAATTGCATGCATAACCTACTACTTCCCCAGTCAGGTTACCCGGGAAGAAGGTTACTGCAAAAAACATGAGACTTCTGGCCCGGATGGGTTATGCCCATGGCCGACGAGGGACGCAGGCTCAATTATAGTCATTAATGTTTACTTTTGGGGTCAACATCGAAAAGTGCACCAGTCACGGATGAAGAGCATGGAACTGTTATTGTCCGGATTTGAAACAGAGAAACATTTACGAACCAGCTTGATTAACATCGCAGCAGACCTCTTTGCTGGCATTATACTCCATCCCAACAGAGAACGACGCCAGCTTTAACCCGGATCAAAGCTGCATCGAACATATCTTCACTCTTTGTCAAATTCCTAAACACAGTCCTTCGGTAGGCTGACACTATCTGGACGTGTTCAGACAAAAGCGGCTTCTGATTTAGTTGACCAGATGATGCTCTGACGCTGCCTCTCGCGTAAAAGTGTGTCAGGGAAGTTTACCTTACAACTACGATCTCTTTACAGGAATGGTCGAAATCTAGTCGGAGATTATTGCCCGCTGTAAGATGATGATGATTGCTGTTTCACCCCAGGGTTTATCACGGAAAGCGATGACATCAGGTTCACCTTCCTTCTAAAAGATATGATTCCGAAAAAGACCCGGGTTTGATTCGATTAGGACAGTACTAATGTGCTAACAGGTGATAGGGGGATAACAATAGTCAATTTAAAAAAGATCCCAGTAGACTGCAAGCTTTTCTGGGTCGTTCGAATGGTAGTGAAGCAATGTTCAGCTTGTTTCTTGCACCTCTCAAGTATTACAGGACTGGGATGGTCTACCTCCCGTCCTTACTCTACCTAAGAAAGGAGTAAAGTGGAAAAATCGTTATTTGAGCTGTAATGTCCGGGTTTGGTGAAACGTTCCATTCAGTAAAGATCATGCATTGAAGAATTCGTTAAACGGATAATTATTAGTGACTGGGTTACACATTACGAATAGCACCAAATAAGTTTCTTCAGCGGACGATGTTTGTCGAGACAGACGATGGTTGTTAGGCCAAACATGGTCATAATAAAACCTGACATAAGGAAATTAAAAAAATGCTGACTTAAGGGACTCAGATATCTAGTTCCCGTTAGCATTTCATGTTGTAGATCTAGGGGTATGTCTAATTGAGGTTCAGGGAAGCGGAGTGACATGGCCCGGTGTCGTAAACACGGGCACTTATGCATCTACTCAGCTTCTTCACAAATGTACTTGAGATGTACCGAGTATTTGCCACCCACCGATCCTTTCATTCAAATGGGCAGTCAAAAGACAGCAGTCAGAACCGTCACACGAAAGGGCAACATGAATTGCATTGCATCAGTAGGGTCGATTTGTGTAGAATTAGATGTCGCCAATTTTCTGTGAATTTATAATGAATGGGAATCATGAAAACTTAGGATTAGGTCAAGATAATTTTATTTCCAGAAAAACATCGTATTCTGAGTAATACATAATACATATCCAGGAAAACTTGAGCGACATAACACGATAGTTACGTCCTAATAAGACAAATCAACAAAATCTGACATCAAAATAGAAAAAATGTGGCGACTAAACTTACACGACCCCGAAGCTGAAATGGCATAGGAGATGTTTGAAAACGCACAGCCGTGCCTTCGGAGAAATCTCTTTGTATAAATACGCGATCACAAGTTCCTGACTGTTGTGTGCGGTCTTCGACTGGCATCGCCATGGACATTGCAATAATTCAAACCAACGGAGATACGTAAGCGTCTGAACAGTTGAGCTAATCGGAAATCTAGCAATTAATTCCACGATCGTCAACAACTCATTCGAAAAAGTGTCAGGAAAGCTGAAACAAAACATGAAGCCGTGATCTGAGCAGACATGAAAAAGTGAAGAAACAAGGAGGTGAACAAACCAGAAATGCTCACTAATAAGCAGTTTATTTATTTGAATTCGTAGTTGAAATGGCGCGAACGATCATACCATAAGGAAAAAATGCTAACAAAATATGTGGGAATGTAGGCAAAAATGCGAAGTTCGATTTTTAAGGCGTGAGAAGTAAGGATGTCTTGGTTCGATCGCACGACCGCTTTCAGTAGCACGATTCAAGAGCCATTGCAATCCCCATTCCTCCACCGATACAAAGTGCAGCTACACCCCGGCGAACTGGTTGAGAATCAGTCCGTTTCTCGATGGCTAGTCGACGGAGAGTGTGAACAAGTGTTACCAGCACCCGAGCGGGTGTCCCAAGGCGATTGACCCACCATTTACATTTAGTCGATCCAACGGTATACTCAATTCACGGGCGACCTGGAAAACAATAAAAGCATTGGCGAATCAACGCAAAGAAAATAGAAGTTGGCGAGCAACTCGTGATATTTGTTAGGGAAACCGAAAGTTGTATGGGAGAGCTCAAATAAAAAGCACAAAATGACAACTGAACAGGCTGTCTTCGGTGTTCACATTATACTGGGTGAAAAAGACGAGATAACTAAAACTAGACACCGATATAAGCTACAGTCGTCATAGACAAGAGGGTTTTCTTGTTCCATTAGAGGAATCCATCGGTTATTGCGGACAGCCAACAAGGTGATTAAAACGAGCTCTAACCTTATGCAGTCAACAAATTAGCAGTTCAGCTCAGTTCTTACAACCATTAACCATGCACTGTCGCGCGCCGGTTTTGGTTGCTGTGTCTTGATTGCCCACTTGGATAAAACAGCAGAATGATGATTAGAATGTTAACAGCAGATTCAAGCGGAAGATAGTGCATATACACAGACTGAAGTTAGAAGATTGATGAGTAGATGCACGAGTGCCCAGATAGAATAATTGTATGCATAACCTACTACTTCCCCAGTCAGTGTGAGACTTTGTGCTTGACCATCTCTACTATATCTACGAATTCCTCAGTCGGGGTGCGGGCGGGGTCTCGACTAACCCAATCTTCGAGGAACGTTTTACATTTTGAATTTGTAAAACGTATACCGAACATGGCTACGCTGCCACTCAAACTATACAAAAAAGCTTGCAACTTATCTGGACCTTCACTTAGCAACACAATTTTGTCTACGTACTCCAGATCATACAGTCTGCAACCTAGGAGTAGTTCGACACCGGTATCCTTGCACGAGGATACGGCTGTCTCAAGAATTAAATCTATCAGGGCGGGAAATCGAAACGGAGAGAGGACAACTGTAACGAACACCAACTTCTGTAGTGAACTAGAACGAAAAAGTATCGTGAGCTCGAATTCGGCTTCGGCTGTGAGCCTAAAGTGATCGTAAAATATAAATGAAATTCTCGGGCAAACCCGTCAGACAAGAAGCGCCAGGATTTAGAACGGTCGACTGAGTTGAGAGCCGCTTTCAGATCGAGAAAGATAGAAATGGTGGGCCCTCGAAAGGGCTGTCTGTGTTCTATAATTAAGCGAAGAGTGAAGATTTATACATATACATATATTTAACACTGGGTTGCAGACAACATGGTGCTAACTTCACAACAATAATAACAGCAACAATAACGGGATGAGGGGTTTGCGATACAAAACATAGTAAAGAAGTGAAACTGTAAAAATGGGAAATTGCAAATGACTGAGATAACGATTTCGCGGGTTTCATTATGCACTTCTTGAAATATTTTGTGAACGTATGGTCGATACAACCTCGACCAGCCTGGTTCTCACGTGTGCACTCTTCACGTGCAGCAGACAATCGACGGAGTTTAACACCAGCGAGAAATTTCGAGGAAATGTTGACTAGACCAATTCCGCTGTGGTTTTCGCAAGATGATTTGTCACCTTTCTTGTAAATCGGTATGACCACCTACTCACACCATTCTGTTGGAACCTGTTCCATCTCTCACATTGAGCTCAAGAGTTTGGTTAACTCCAAATCTAAGGTTGAACCTCCACCCTAAAAGCCGACGGGGACAGCCCGTCGGGGCCGGAAAGCTTATGCCCTTTGAGATAGTGTATTTCTCAGGTATCCCGCATTTAATATGGCGGACTGGTGTCATTTGACAATATTTGTGCCGTTTAAGCGGGTAGCGGGAGGTCTTGTGTCAACGGAGGCCAGTTGAATTGTGCCTATAAGTGTTCTGCCAAACATTTAAGACAGCGTTGCTGAATATGAATCAGTGTACCATCAGACTCCTTAATTACCTCACTCGCCTAATTTTCTTGGTTTTGTACACCTAAATAACCGGAAAAGATTGCGACTATTACACATAACAGCAGCCTTCTCCATTTCTGTACACTTCCTTACCTACCACTTCTCGTGGGCATTCCTCAGACTCTTGATGAGCTGGCGTTTAAGAGATTTGCGCACTTTGTCGTATTTTGAATCAGAAGGAATGGCTCTGCGAGCGTCCAGCAAGAAGACCGAGGGGAGAGCCATAGATTTGATTTAATCGCCCGCCAGACTCCGCTGTTATTTTGATCGACGTTTAGATCGCTTCGGTGATTATCGTCCAGTGTTTACTGAGTCCCTCGGCTGATGGTTGAGCTGAGAAGCGATGTGATAGTTCCGCTTCGAAAGCCGATCTGCAACGGTTGCTGATACTTTGTTAAGGGCATCCGTGTTCGGTGGCTTTTCTACGGTTGTTTATTAGGCATAGGGTGAATCTCACTCGTAGCAGAGCATTGTTCGTGTCCACGGGTGTTGACCAGTAAGAGCGCACTCCTCAAAGAATCTACGCCAACGTTTGCTGATGGCGATGAGGTCGATTTGAGTGCAACGCTGTGAAGCGGTTTTCGGTCCCTGTGTGAGGCGGGGTCGTTTCTTGTTCGAGAAGTTCGTGCTTGAGGATATAGTCTGTGGTCAGCACAACGTTGGAGTAGGCGCTCTCCGTTTTCAGTCCGGTTAGCTGGGATCGCATGCGAACCACCAAGTGGCCTTGTTCGTCCAGAGGTCACACCTGAGCATTGAATTCTCCAGTGATTACCACAATGTCCGTTAACCGAGCACTTTGGAGGCGTTGAGAGAAGTCCTTGTAGAATCCATTATATTC